GAGCCCCAGAACCGATAGATCTAAGTGATGAAGAAATAGCCAGTCTTTCAGATGCACAGTTCAAAACACTGGTTATCAGGATCCTTACAGAACTGGTTGATTTTAGTCACAAATTAGAGAAACATATGGAAGCTAAACTAATTGAAATGAATGGTGATACAAAGGAAGCCAATAGTAATGGAAAGAAAATTGGGACTCAAACCAAGGGAGTGGACCAGAAGGAAGAAAAAAATGATCAAATAGAAAAGAATGAAGAAATAAGAATTCAGAAAAATGAGGAGAAGCTTAGGAACCTCCAGGACATCTTTAAACGTTCCAACATCCGAATTATAGGGGTACCAGAAGGGGGAAGGCACAGCCACCAGTGGAAAACTTATTTGTACAGATAATAAAGGAGAATTTCCCCAAGCTAGCAAAGGAAATAGACTTCCAAGAAATCCAGGAAGCTCAGAGAGTCCCAAAGAAGTTGGACCCAAGAAGGAACACACCAAGGCACATTATCATTACATTAGCCAAGATTAAAATGAAGGAGAGAATCCTAGAAGCAGCAAGAGCTAAGGGGACAGTCACCTACAAAGGAGTTCCCATCAGACTGTCAGCTCATTTCTCAAAAGAGACCTTCCAGGCAAGAAGGGGCTGGAAAGAGGTATTCCAAGTCATGAAAACCAAAGATCTACAACCAAGATTGCTCTACCCAGCAAAGTTTTCATTTAGAATGGAAGGACAGATAAAGTTCTCAGATAAAACCAAATTCAAGGAGTTCATCATCACCAAGCCCTTATTATATGAAATGTTAAAGGGACTTACCTAAGAAAAAGAAGATAAAAAAGATGAACGGTGAAAGGACAGCAAACTCACAGTTATTAAGAACCACACCTAAAACAAAAGCAAACTAAGAGGACAGCTAGATCAGGAGCAGAACCATAGAAATGAAGATCTCATGGAGGGTTAGCAACAGGGGAGTGGGAGGAAAAGTGGGGGAAAAGGGGAGAAGGTACAGAAAATAAGTAGCATAGACAGTAGATAGAAAATAGATAGGGGGGAGGGTAAGAATAGTAGGGGAAATACAGAATCTAAAGAATTTGAGACAGGTGCTCATGAACTAAAGGGGGAAATGGTGGGGGAGGGGTATGCAGGGTGGAGGGGAATGGAGGGGGGGAATAGAGCAAATGTAATGGCATAATCAATAAAAAAAGTTAAAAAAAATAGTTTCTTGTCCTGAAGTACATTTTTTGATTCTTCCATATGACACAACAAAGATTTCTAAATTCCTCATACAGTCACAACTGAAGACTGATGGGAAATTTTAAACGTTACACATTTGAAATGATTAGTATTAGTGGCTCCCAAATACCTACAGTACGAAATCGAAACTTATGAATACAGTCCTTTGTGACCCGATGCCTGGCAATTCTCCAAATTAATCTCCTGCCATCTGCCCCATGCATGTTACCTTCCAGCCATACTTGATGTTCCCTGACAAGCTGTTATCTCAGTATCTTTGCTCTCATTTCATCACCTCCTCAGAGAAAAATTACCTGATATTACAAGCAGACTTAGGAAAATATTTCTTCTGTGCACCAGTGCATGTTGTATTATGATAATTATCACCTCAAACTGTTAGTCTGGCTCTGTTTACCTCTAAAATTTATACTCCTTAAGGTTTATATATATTTTTTAATCCATGTTCCTGTCCTTTACTACAGCACCTGGTACATAGTGTGCATTTTTAAGAATCAGGTCATTAACATTTTCTAATTTAAACATTTACATTTAATCTCACTGCTGTAAAGCATGTATAACATAAATTAATAGCAAAATACATTCTTTTTCAATTAGTTTATACTCAATATTATTTTGAATTGATTTCAGGTATACAACATAGTAGACAGTCATATGCTTTATAAAGCATTCTCACTGATATTTCCAATACCCACATGGCACTATATATAGTATTGCAGTATTATTGACTATATTCTCTACCTGTACTTTACATCTCTGTGACTATTTTATGACTACCAATTTGTACTTTTAAAATGGAACTTATGACCCAGTGATTCCAGTTCTGGATATATATCTGAAGGAACTCAAAACACTAATTCAAAAGAATATATCCATCCATATGTTCACTGCAGAATTACTTACAATAGCCAAGCTATGAAAGCAACCCAAGTGCCCATCAATAGACAAGTGGATAAAAAAGCTGCGGTACATATAGGTACAATGAAATATTACTTGGCCATAAAAAAGAATGAAATCTTACCATGTGCAACAGCATGGATGGACCTAGAGGGTATTGTCCTAAGTAAAATAAGCCAGTCAGGGAAAGACAAATTATCACATGATTTCACTTATATGTGGAATCTAAAGAACAATATAAATGAACAAACAAAACAGAAACAGACTCATAGATTCAGACAACAGACTGATGGCTGTCAGAGGGGGAGGGGTTAGGGGAACTGAATAAAAAAGAGGAAGGGATTGAGAACTACTGATTAGTAGTTAAAAAATAGTTATGGTGATGTAAAGTAAAGCATAGGGAATATAGTCAATAATATTGCAGTAACTATATACGGTGCCAGGTGGGTATAGGAAATATCAGGGAGAATAATTTGTAAAATATAACTGTCTAACTACTATGCTGCCCAGCTGAAACTAATATAAAATAATATTGAATGTAAACTGTAATTTTAAAAGTTTTTAATTAAAAATAATAAAAATTTTTTAAAAAGAAAAAATCACCTCTATTTTCTAGTTTACTTTACAATATCATACCAATCCATTTTAATATAATTATTCTTTTACACAATTTTCCCATACTGCGCCTTCTGTTTTGCTTAATCCACTCAAATATTCTTCTTCCCTTTTCTAATGACCATTTAAAATAATATTTACCTCATAAACCTTTCCCATATTATATGAATCTAAAGAACAGGGGATCATAACCAGCAGACATGTTCATAGAAAAAACTAAGATTACTTAAATTGTTATAAAATTTTCCTGTTTTAATGCATGCTAATAATAATGTAAACTACCTTACAAATGTAGGTCTCTTTATACATTATTTTGCTTTATGCAGATGTAGTTCTGCTCATCAATAAGAAACATACACATCGAACATTATGATCATTGGTAATGTTCAGCATGGCTTCCTCAAGCAGTTTTTTAAAAAATAGGCCTATTGCATAGTTCTGCTTTACTTCAGTAATAAAGTAAAAGACATGAATATCAACAGTCATACAGTAAAAAATCCTTGGTAAATTTCTTTAGGAAACATGCACTGAGCTGGTTAACCTATCAAATGCTTTATTTAGCTTATTAGAAAAAGGAACATTATTTCCATGCCACCTTTTTCATTTTCCAGCATCTGGGATTGTATCATGTGAGTTATAGAAAATAGTAAAGTGGGGGGAATCAACTTAGATTTTTATAATCTTCTTTTGTTGTTTTTACACATGGTAATAATGATGGTTTCTTTAATATTTTAGGCTTTCCCTAAACTGTTCATTTAAAAAGTTCTTGATTCTGCTCCATCCCCACTGTCAGTTTTAGTAACCAGTAATAACAACCAAATAGTAAACAGAAGTAACAACCAAATGTGTGATGTCACTGTTATCTAAATTTACATGGTATTCACCAACAGAGGGTATTTTTTAATGCAAATACAGTACACAAAGACTGTAATGTAAATAATTTAGTGCTGTTTCTAACTCAGAGTCTGATGACCAAATCAGAACAGCAATGACTATAAACACTGTATTTAATTTAATATGGAATCAATTATGAAATAAACACCTATACATAACACAGCATCAAACTTTAATTTTTAAAATATTTTACTTATTAATTTTTTTAGAGAGAGAGGAAGGGAGGTAAAAAGAAAGGGAAAGAAACATCAATTTGAAAGAGAAACATCAATGGGCTGCCTCTCACATGCACCTGGACTGGGGACCAGCCCACCAAACAGGCATGTGTCTTGACCAAAAACCAAATTAGCGAACTTTTGCTTTGTGGAACAGTGCCCAACCAACTGAGCAATACTGCTCAGGGCCACAGCATGAAACTTTAATAACATATATTATAATATATAGCTCCCAAGCAGTTAGCTCTAAAAGCCAACACTCCTTCAGATATATAATTTCTGGCATCTATGGGTAAAACATTACTAGTGGCTATATTATTGGTTTACATACTTCATTCAACAAAGAACTAAAGACAGTTTAAAGTAACATTGTGAAGACTCATCCAAACAATGGCTGATGAAAGGAAATGCCAGGCAGAGCTGAATCTCAACTCTTTGGCCTACTAACAATATGACCTAAATGTAGAACGACCACCTTTGTTTGTCTGGGACAATCCCAGTTTATAAATGATGTTCCACTGTAATTGTTAATAGTATCCTTTTTGACTCTCACAAGTGTTTTAATTTGGGTAATATACATATCATCTTGCCTAAACACCAAATTCCTAATCTAAAAATAAATATGAAAAAACCTATATAAGGTATCATATCAATAAATCATAGCTGTTATTATTATTATTAGTCATTGATTAAATGGGTAGTATAACAATAACCCAGACTCCTGGAACATTTTTCATAATTTCTGCTTCCCTTATATTGTTATTCCCACTTCCCTTCAGTAACATGCATGCGCGCACGCACGCACACACACATACACACACTAATCATAAGGATGTTTTGAGGGAGGTTTTTATGGGTCTCTCTAAGAAAACTTAAAAAACCTGAGGCCATTAGAAGCCTAAGAATAAAGAAAAGAATGAAAGATTTTAAATGATATGAGTATCTGATAATATAATTAAAGTACAAAATAAAATAACAGAGTAAGTCTTTTCCTTTAAAATCTCCTGAGGAGGTTCTATAGTTATTTAAAATTTCTAACATAAACTTTGAATGACCCATTCTTAAGCCCTTCAGAAACCAGAGCCTGAAAAAACAAAAAAAGTATCAATATGAAATATGAAAAAAATTTTAACTTACCTGAACTGCACAACCCAGCAAAAGTAAAAGCAACTTTTTAACTTCTTCTGTGCCTTGTTCTGAAATGAAAATAATAAGTATAACATTTTACTTTAGTTTAACTCTCTTATGTTGACAGAAGCACTTCTAGAGGTAATATTCACGATAACTCGACTAAAGGATTAAGAATATAAATACAGTGGAAAAATCAAAATAACAGCTCTGTGTGTACACAGTGTAGTATTAGCAGAAGAAATGGGCGACAATCTCAATTTTGAATGACTACACTATAGATAAAATAGGCTTCAAAGCTCTGTGGAATAAACTGTGCTAACTATAAATCCACTACTTTTCCATAAATGATTATAGTGTACCAGTGTACTAAATTAAGTACTACTGATACAGGGACATGCCACAAAGTCAGCCAAAATGGTCCCCAAAAGATCTAGCTTCTTTTAGGCCCATTATTGTTTTCTTTTTAAAACACACCTTACATGTTTCATCAACAGTAAAATTTAAATGGCTTTCCACTGTGTAGTAGATTCATGAAAATCAAAACCTTGTGAATCACAGTAAAACTAGTAAAATAAATGCATACAATTAACTGGATAAAAGTAATGGTCTGTAACAAAACTGAAGAGCGCATTTGCTGTCCAATTCAATTCAGATTTGCTTAAAACACTGAGCAAAAAAAAAAAAAAAAAAGCCAATTCTCTGGACCAGAATTGTACCAACAGGCCAATTGGTTGGTAAAATCCAAATCATCTTTTTCAATATTTCCTCCTCCTCTCCATAAAACAACCTACTTTCTTAGCCACACTAATCACTTTTCCCCAAATATAAAAATACATAGTAACTGCCTTAACTCCTGCTACTCATTTTGCCTGTGTTTCTTCCCTTTCCCCTCCTGCCTCTACTTACTAATCACAATCTGAGGCACAGCTGTAACACCTCTGTTGCAGTCTTTTCTGACCTAACCACCAATGATGCCCAATCCTCACTAATCTGCCAACTTTAAGCATAAGTAATAGCTTTGTATTTTACATGCCTTAACATGTTTAAATCTTTATTTCACACCAATTCTTACCTGATTTCCTAATAATCCATATCTCTCAACAAAACACAAGGTCCTCCAGAACATAAAGCATTTTCTTTATATTCTTGGTAGGTAATTACTAAATGCAAGTGGTAATAAAAATAATTCCATTCTACATATAAATTTTTTCATTTTTTATTTATATAATAAAATATTCCAGAATATATCTATAAAGACTGTCTAAACTTCTGAGTCACCCCATCTAACTGGTAATTTCCTTAATTTCAGTTTTTATTTTGGTTTATTTTTCTTGTTGTTTTCAGTGAGGGTGGGAGTGGGGTTTGGAAAAGATACAGTTTGTTTGGGTTACGTGTAGCCTGTTAGAATAAGTCCACTGTTGAGATGGGTAGTTGCTAATTTCCCCTATTATTCAAAAATTAAAACTTTAAACGTGGCACATTTAAAATCTACTAAAGTGCAGAAACTTTTGAAAATATAATTTAAAGGATCTAAGAACTGCTTCTCAACTTTCCATTCAGAAGTAATTTATATTGATAAATTACAACATATCAACATATAAGTAAAACCTTAGATTCAAAACTTTGGCAACGGTAGACAGAAACCTACAAATTATTTTAATATCACTTATTTCCTAAGGTTATGTTCCTTGCAGCCTATAGCTGCATTATCTTCTACCCTTGACAATAAACTCATCACAGAGCCCTGACTGGTGTGGCTTAGTGGGTTGGGCATCCTCCCACAAACGGAAAGGTCGCCCACCAGCTGGATCCCAATCAGAGACCACGTCTGGGTTGTGGGCCAGGTCCCCAGTTGGGTGTGTGTGAGAAACAAAACCAATGGTTTTCTCCCTCTTTTTCCCTTCCTTCATCTCTCCAAAAAATAAATAATCTAAAAATTAAAAAAAGTAAAGCTCCAGAGAAAGTATCAATTTGGGATAGTCCAAAAAACACCAGACAATATAAAATGTATTTCTGATCCCATCTATAACCTATTCTGAGTTTATTTTCTCTCTATAAAATGGACTATCAACTCCAACTTTCCCTATAATAACCGCACGTCCCGCCAAAAATTCTATCCCTCTCTACTTCCCTTCCCCTCTAAAGATAAATAAATAAAATCTTAAAAAAAAAAAAAAGAAAAACCTAGTCTGTTGATGTAACTAAGCAAGATCTGGGTAAGCATTCTAGTATTACATAAGGAAAAGACTTTATTAGCACATTATGCTAATGTTAATACTTACCAGAAAAGGGGTTTTTGCCAATGATTAAGACATTTGGCAATGACATCATGATCAATTGCTGCAAAGTCTCCTGTAAAAAGATACCCAGAGGTTGTTATACGGGTAATGCTGACTAGGTAATTATTCCTCAACAAGTTATAACTTATGATTTGTGTACTTCTCTACAAATTTGTTATAGTACAATTAAAAGCTTTTAAAGATAAATAAATGTGAATAGGTATTTACAGTTTTAAATCTTTTGTAACTTAAAGTTAATGAATTAAATTATAACATCTGACTTCACAATATTAAGATATATCAAATGCCCACAAAATTAAGTGTCAAGTTGAACTGATCTAATATTTATTTGGAAATTGAGTTTTAGGTGTTAAATAATCAAAAAATATTTCTCAATAAACGATTAAGTATGTGTACTCATTTGTCTAGTTTTGTTTTACCTTCCTGAGGGAATGAAAAATATCAACTGATATTAAAATTGAGAAATCTAGTTACTTTATTCAAAATCCTGTCTTATGGCCATTTCATGCAAGTGAGCTTTTCCAGTAAATCATTATTTTTCTCCTCTATGTACAATAGATGTTTTACCTCCTTTGAGTTGCATCAAAATTTTAGTGACAGGCATATATACATAAGTACAGCATAGGGAATATAATCAATAATATTGCGATAACCATGTCTTGTACCAGGTGGGTGCTGGAAATATCGGACGGATCACTTTGTAAAGTATATGAGTGTCTAACCACTGTGATGTACACCTGAAACCAATATAAAATAATACTGAAAGTAAATTGTAATTAAAAAACAAAAAACATTTTTAAATATACATATTATGAATGTATAGGATGATTCAGAAAGAGAGGGATGCTTTCAAATTACTCATTTTAGGTAAGGTACATGAAGGGATGCTTTCAAATTACTCATTTTAGGTAAGGTACAAAGGTACATGAAGTATGTACCTTTGGTTTATACCACCTCTTCCCTGAAGAAATAAAGCCACTCACTGTGTCTGTCATTTCAACCACTAACAATGACATGCTACAAAAGGTCTGGGATGAATTAGACTATGGGATTGACAGGTATCATGTTATGTTACTGAATCTCTGCAAGATTTTAGAAATAAATGAGTGTCTTCACAATATGGCTTTCACTACCTATTCAGACATAACTAGTTTCTGAGAAATAAATTTTTTCTGAATCATTCTTAACTTACAATAGTATGATGAGGAAGAAAATAACTATAAAAAGTTAACTTATGTTGGTTTTTTAAAGATTTTTATTTACTTATTTTTACACAGAGGGGAAAGGAGGAAGAGAGAAAGAGAAACTTCATGTGCAGTTGCCTTTTATGCACCCCCCTACTAGGGACCTGGCCTGTAACCTACCTAGGCTTGTGTCCTGACTGGGAATTGAACCAGTGACCCTTCGGTTTACAGGCCGGTGCTCAATCCACTGAGCCACACCAGCTAGGGCTTTAATTACACTGCTTTTAAAATATATATATATATTTTTTATTTATTTATCTTTAGAGGGGAAGGGAAGGAGAGAGGGAGAAATACCAATGTATGGTTGCCTCTCGTGAGTCCCTACTGGAAACTGGCCTGCAACCTAGGCATGTGCCGTGACTGGGAATCGAATCACAACCCTCTGGTTCATAGGCCCATGCTCAATCCACTGAGCTACAGCAGCTAGGGCTCAACTTCTATATTAAAGATAATTCTCATTTGTATCACTTATTATGGGGTAACATGAGTAAAAAGTAATGAGTCAAAGGGAAAACATCAATTTATATTTCCAAGGCAATTTATTTTATTGATTTACCAGATAATATTCTATGTTGGTACACTATTATAAGGAAACTATCCAAGAAGACAGAAATGTTCAATATGGTCTGCTACCTCTTTTCCATCCTCCCTCCTCCTCAACTGGCTCCCCGTTTTCTGCCTACACTGTTACCCCATGCTTTGATGCTAACTCAGTCTTTCTACAAAGATGAAACCAATCTCATATCATCTCCTTTCATCACCTGGTATCATCAGTGAGCACATGTATGAATACAGTTTGACCTATATACTATGAGGTTCAATTATATTTGAATGATGCAAACTGCTAAATTTAAACTTACCTCGATGTATTTCAAAATATTCTCTAGTATAGTGGAATCTGAATGCCTAGTATAGTATACTCTGGTAGAGTCAGGATGCCTAAACTTAAATTTTGTCTCCATGATTTATCATGCGTATGATATTTATTGGGAAGGGTAGAAAGTGAAACAAGAGTATAAAGTTTTTAAAAAATTATGAAACTTCTTAAATACTGAAGGTAATGAGGAAAAATTCACATTTTGCTTTATTTCCAAGGATTAATTTTAAGTTAGGTCTCAAAGCATTAATATTTGGTAAGGCAGCTAAAAATTATACAGATTTTTAAGACCCAAATTTTTCCAAAATCTCTATTTTTAATGGCTTTTCAGAGGATTCTAGGTACATTTTAATAAATATTTGTTTCTCTTCCAATCTTACAAGTAACATTTAAAAATATACAAGACATAAAAGAGACTAGAGGCTAAAAAAAGCCCTGATTATTATTGTTAAAGCTTTATTGTATCATCCTCAAACTTTCCAGACTTCACCTCGTTCTAAGAATGTTCATCATTAACATGCTAAAAACATAGAAAAATAATACATAAATGAGCCCAAGATAAATATGACTTTGTTAAACAGGAAAAACAAATTAATTGATGGGTTAAGGATGATGTGTATATAAACTGGTGAAGATACTTTAATGTTACTAAAGTGATAAGAAACCTAGAAAAGTGCATGAAGAATAAAATAATTTTACCAATACAACTGAAAGAAAATAAAATTTTGAGAAAAACCATGACAGGCATTCATTCGACAAATATTTATTGCGTGTTTATTATTTGCCAGACATTGTTGTAGACCCTAGAAACACAGCAAGGAACAAAAACCCTTGCTCTCATGGAATTTGCATTTCAGTAGGGCAGACAGAAAATATGTAAATGTTTTTGGTGATAAATGCTAATGATAAAAATAAAGCAGGAAATGAGAAGGAGTATTGGTAGAAGTGGAGATTAAGGAAAGGCAGCAATCTTTTAGAGGCATACAAATACTCAAATATAAAGAACGTGATAGGTTTTAGGATCGTTAAAGTGAAACTTCCCTGAATAGGCAGAAATTTCATCCTAGTATAAAGACGCGCTAGAAATACTTGAAGAATTGCAATACTTAATAAAAAGAAAAAGACAAAACAAGACAGAAATGACAGAGATTATGTTAATAGGAAAATAACAGTAGAGATGCTTTGAAAGATTCTATAAGTAATTTTATTCCCATTAGTTTTAGTTGGCTTTCTATAACCTTTCTAAAAATATGGTATATCAACAGTATTTTTTAGTGGACCATCTTAAAAGCTTTTTTACTGATATGCAAGTTTCTGTGAATTAAAGTTCAAGTTGCTAAAGCATTGTAAGAAAGACTATTTTGAGTTTGTGCCAAATACAGACATTACTAAGTTACTATTTAATATAACTTACAGTATGCTTCTCCTTCACCTTCTAAGTTATCCATAACACTTCCTTTACTGTAAAAAGTTAAACTACACTTGGCAAAGATCTGGGCTCATATCCCTTTTCTGAATCCCACACTGAGCAAGGTACGCCTTTGAGATTATCATCTATTTTAAAAATTCAAACAATTATATTTTTCATACTATTTGTGTTTGTCCTTTTACCTGTGCTACTAGTGAAAAGAATTAAAACTATTTTACCATATTTTAGTAGGCTACAAAAAAATTAAATGAATGGCAGTAAGAGGAAAGAACATCTAACCAAAGTGTCAAAAACATGATGGAATATAAAGTATTTGTTGTTATACAACAAATACTTTAGGGTAACAAAGGGTCTCTTTCCTTGGCTACCGAATTTTATTAAACTCCGAAAGTTGCTTATTATAACAACAGATGTTAAAGCAAGAAAAAGCTTAAAAAGTTCCTGCTTTCTCTGGCAACTGCATTAATGGTATTAGATCTGGTTTTTGTTTTTAATATTAGTACAAAAACTTCCTAATAAATTTAAATTTCCTAATTGTAAAATATTCTTTATTGGGCCTCAAAAATTCAGACCATTACTTTAACATTGGTTAAACAACCACCTTGCTTCCTTTAGTATTTATTTAAACGTAGTCAGACTGAGCAGTTATACCAAACACTAGCTGCTGACAGTTCCCAAAACTGGACTAAGGGTGTTAGTTGTAAACTGTGTCTCTGATAATTAAATTCACTCTTTCTCCCTCATTCGCAGAAATAAAAGTAACTTTTTAACAAAGAAATCAAAAAGCCTGGGTAATTTTATAGCTATAATTTACTTATTTTCTGACTTGAACATTTTAAAATATTTTTTGCAAGACAAGAAGAGGTGCTTGATGTGCATGTAATGATTATCTGAAAAGATCTGAATTCCCACTTCAACATAACAAAATGTACGTTTCATAAACGTTGTGATAACCTTATGTTACCAGTTACTTCCCTCAAGATCTCTCACATTAATACTTCATTTGCCCTTGTTTATCACAATCAAAATCATTTTATTCATTTACTTTTCTATTATCCCTCTACTAGAACTATAAATTTCATGAGAATAGGGAGATCATCTGTTCCATTCACCAATGCCTTGGCATCAATAAAAGCAAGTGGAACTCAGAAGAAATCTGAATGACATTACAATTTTTGTTGAGCTTTTAGATAGTCTAAGTCATTAAAATGCAAACAAAGGAAGAATACTGACACTTAAATTTACCTATCATTACTGAGAATATACACTAATGACCACCTCAGGATACTGTGTCAGTTTTCCTTTCTCCCTAGGAATCACTTTTGCAAGATGACCTTGACAATTACCCACCCATAAGAAAAACAAACAAAACAAAACAAAACAAAAACTGGAGACTTATACTTCTAAACTTTAACTTACCCCAATTCACTTTCCTTTTGTGAATCAGAATACTCAAAATGTACTCAAATACTTTTTCATAAGAGTGAATAAAACACCATATTTTTTCATGTATAATGCACACCCACTTTTTTGTGCACATTATACATGGAATTATTATACCCATTATAATACCCATCATATGTAATCATCATGCCCATATATAATGTGCATCCTTATTTTTCCCTCAAAAATTTGGGCACTATAGTGCACCTTATATATGGAAAAATATGGTATAAAAATACAGCATGGGGCAAAAGTAGGTTTATAGTGGTAAGTACATGAAACAGAGTTTATTCTTGTATTATTATTTATTATTGTATTATTTTCCATCTGAACAACTGTAAACCTACTTTTGCCCCACCCTGTATATTTTTAATAGCTTTAGAAAGACTTTTGGGAAATTTTTTGATTTTTTCAAAAGACAGGTAATTTAACAGGTGACAAGAACTGCATTGATTTGAACTTTGTTAACTTAAAATCTGTCATATTAAAGTAGGTCATGTCTATCTTAATTATATACGTGAGAATAAAACATAATTTTAGTAAGTCAATTAATCATGTAAATAATATGGTTGACCTATTTCTAAAGATACTTCATGAGTACCTTAGAAACATTTTACCTAAGAATATGAAATATGGGGGAAGGGTATATAGATGGTATCGTAAACTGGTTCTAAAGGAAGGACAGTGGTAAGAAGGGTAATTTCAATCCTCAGTAATATTTTATATCTTAAATATCTAAAACAGTATTGACAAAGTGTTACAATATTCAATCACTTCATTCAGAAAATGTTAGTGAAATATTTAGATATAAACAGTGACACTCAAAAAACAAATCAGTTCTAAGCTGAAAAAGTGAACCAGCTCAGTTGGTTAGAGCATCATTCCGATATGCCAAGGTTATAGGTTCAGTCCCGAGTCAAGACACCTACAAGAATCAACCAGTAAAGTCATAATAAGGAGACCAACAAATCAATGTTTTGCTCTCTAACTCAATAAATAAAGAAAATCATTAATAATAACATCATCTTGGCATTATTAACATTTGGGCTCAAAAGTGTTTGTAAAAAATCTAGCACAGACTTATTTCTGGCAAGGAGTACTAGATACTAGAAAAGAGAAGAAAGATCCAAAAATGCTGAATGGTTTTTAAAAAATCTTTAAGAATACACGACTAAACTCTAAAAAGGTTTCTCAGTTAAAGCAGTTAAATGATAAAACAGCTCTGGCCAGTGTGGCTCAGTTGTTTGGGCTTTGTTCTGCAACTGAAATGTCATGGGTTCAATTCCCAGTCTGGGCACAGGCCTGGGTCGTGGGTTTGGTTCTCATAGAGGCTCATGTGAGAGGCATATGAGAACTCTCTCCATCTCTTTTTCCCCAATAAAAAAAAGATAAAACAGAAAAAAACCTATAAAGGAAGGCAAGGAAAAAGCGATTTTCCTTAGCCTTTGTTAGATTTTGAGGAGGGTTGTTTTCTAAGGAATTGTAATAATGTAGTCTCAGTTAAGGATATATACATAAACACATAAATACACCATTTACACATACGCATGCAGCCAATGAGAGCCAGAGGTATATATATTTAGTTGCTAGCAGTGGTAATCTCTATCAGGCACTATAAGTGTCCATATTTTATCTTTTTTCCTACTTTTCTACTTTTTATCATAAACAAGTATTGCTTCTAAAATAATATAAAGCTCCTTAAAATAAATTAAAAAGTGGTTCTGGACTGGAACACAAAAGAAAGCAAATCTTCTCTGAAGCAATGCATACTTGGCTCAGACACAAAAGTATTCCCACAGATAAATCCCCTCCTAAAACGAACTCACGAAACACATATACGTATCATTGCCACCACCGAACACCATGAAAAATGGCAAATAGAAAACACAGGGCAGCCCTAGCTGCTGTGGCTAAGTGGACTGAGAGCTGGCCTGCAAATGAAAGGGTCACTGGTTTGATTCCCAATCTAGGACATGTATCTGGGCTGTGGGTGACATCACCAGTCGGGAGCATGTGCCAGGCAACCACACTTAATGTTTTTCTCCCTCTCTTTTTTCCTCCCTTCCCCTCCCTAAAAACAAATACAATCTTAAAAAAACAAAAAAGAAAACACAGAGCAGATTCAGATCCCCACAGATCTGTTTTCAGATTTTGGAATAATCAAATGTAAAATCTAAAGAAGAAAATTTTTTAATTTCTAAGAAAGTAAACAAAGGAACTAAAGGAATGATAGACAAAAAATGTAACAAAAACAGAACTATTTATTCTAGAAATAAAAAATATAATTATTGAGGGTCAAAAATTAATCAGTGGGTTAAACAGAGATTTGACAAATATGCTGGGCAAATTAGCAAACTGAAAAGACAGTTCTGAAAAAATTCTCAGAGGATAGAATAAGAAAGACTAGTGTACATGTAATAGAAATATTGGAATTATATCAGATAAGAGAACAGGAAAAAGCCGATATTAAAAGGAAAAAATTAGCAGCTAGGAGAGAAAAATGACGACTTAACCTAAGAACAAAAATTAGACTGATAGCTAACTTCTCCAGAACAATAAAGAACACAGAAATGGAAAAATAAAATCTATAAAACACTGAGGGAAAATTAATTGTTAACCCAACAAATCTATCTTTCAAGAACAAGGGTGAAATAAAGGCATTTTTCAGACAAATAAACATTGAGAAACTTTATTAACCAGCCCTCTCTAAACAAACATTTAAAAGCTATACTTCAGTAAGAAAATGATCCCAAAGGCTGGTCTGAGAAAGAAAAGAAAACCATGGCGGGGGAGGTGAAGATAAAAGGAAAACATGTAGCATGACCTAAAGGAACACTGGTTCTATTTATTGGACTGTAATTTCAATATCTAATTTATGAGGTATAAAAAAACTACATTTATTTTTAAACTTTGTTTTTTAAAAAAGATAGTAACAGCTTAAAAGTCAAAGGGGGAATGACTGAAGTTATAAAAGAGTACAGATACTGATTAATTTTGGCCTTTGCTATGGTAAATATGAAAGGTATAATTTCAAGAGTGGCTTTCTAAAAAAAAAACAGACATGAAGTAGGAAACTTTTAAACCAGGAAAGAGAAAATATGTAGTAACAGCTATTGAAAATACCATAATTCTAAAAAAAAAAAAAAAAAGAAAATACTATAATTTTAATAATTAAACAATTCAAAATTCATTTGCACCCAGTAACATAGCTTTAAAGTATACAAAGGAAAACTTGACAAATTCATCATCATAATGAGAGATTTCAAGTCATCTTTCTCAAAAACTGACACAGCAAGAGACGAAATCAGGCAGCAAAAGGTTTTAACAATACAATTAACAAACAAGCTTACTCTGCCCCTGCACCCAAACAATTAAAGAATGCATATCTCTTTCAATCACACATGGAACTTTAATAAAAGTGACAACATACTAGGCCAAGCCAAGTAATTTTTAACAAATGTCAAGAAATAATTATCATACAAACCACATTCTTTGACCAAAAATCAACAGATTGCTTGAAAAATACCATATGTTTGGAAATCTAAAAGCATACTTCTAGTAACTCAAGAGTGAAATAAATCATAAAAATTATAAATTCACAGATATATGCATTTAAAAAATACAACACACCAATATTTGTATGTTGCAGCTATAGCAATTGTTAGAGGTATATTAATATCCTCATATTTAAATTATGAAATATGTGTCCAGTTTAAGTGAAAAAAAGAAAAAAGCATAAGCATAATTCTTTTAAAAAAGAAAAAAAAGCAAAGCATTACTCTTTTTTTTTTTAAAGATTTTATTTATTTATCTTTAGAGGGGAAGGGAAGGAGAGAGGAGGAGAAGCATCAATGTATGGTTGCCTTTCGTGTGTCCCCTGCTGGGAACTGGCCTGCAGGGAATCGGCCTGCAACCCTGGTATGTGCCCTGACTGGGAATTGAACCACGATTGTCTAGTTTGCAGTCCTGCACTCAATCCACTGAGCTACACCAGCCAGGGCGCATTACTCTTCAAAGGCATAATTCAAGCAAGCTAACAAAGTATTGGACTATATGAATTTCCAGGAAAATAAAAATTAGTTTAAAAAATCATAAAATACAATAATTATTTGTAAAATTAGATAATAATGAAGTACCTGCTTGTATCTTAATATTGAATAAAAATAGACTATGTTATTATTGTTCTGTCTCCAGCAAACCAACCAGTACTTGGCTATAAGCATAACCCAATACTGATCTGTTCAGTATATGTTAGGTGATTGATACTAAATAACACAAAAATGTGAATATACAAGCAGTTATTAAAATACAAGATAAAAAAAACTCCACTTACCTGATAATAAAATTTTATCTGTCTCACCAAAATGGATAGGTTATGAATTCTAAGTGAGGCATCATTGTTGACTTTTTTATTTACTCTCTGACTCTCCGATTTAGGATTACTGAAAGAAATAAAAAAAATACTTTGAAATTATGCTGAAATACACCTATTAACCTACAAATGACTAAAAATAATCATACATTTTTCTATAAACAAACTACACATTCATCTGTATTAAGAGATGATCTAAAAGGACAGATGATTACCTAGAAAAGTATTCAGTGCTTTTAACTGATAAAAATGAGTCCGACATTCTAAGACAGTAGCAAAATAAATATGAAACATAAGTCAGATATTGCCCTTCATTATCATTTTGTCTCTTCAACTTTCTGGAATAAATAACCTCTTATTTCCTCAAATATGTATATTTCCATAACCCAAATAAGTCTGTTTAAATCAAGAAGGTAAACTATGGGCTAATAACCAATAAATGTTGTATCTTTTTACTGGATAATGAAGAGTGTATCTCACAGGAAATATCCCAGGGAAATTAAAGAATAAAGTGATAGCACAGGTTAATATGTGGATACTCTGTACATATAATGAAAGCAAAGGGTTCAGTGATTCTGATGTAGGAGAAACTAGAGAAGAAAAACAGGCTATGGTTAAGAATGAGAAATTCAACGACACCAAAAGCAAAGGCAACAAAGGCAAAAATAAAGAAGTGTGCTTACCTCAACTTAAAAGCTCCTTATAGCAAAGAAAACCATCAACAATATGAAAAGGCAACTTATGGAACAAAAACAAGTACTGCAAATCATGTATCTTCTAAGGGGCTAATATCCAAAGTATTATAAAGAACTCATACAACTCAATACCAGAAAATCACAACCCGATTTTAAAATGGGCAATGAAAATGAATAGACATTTTCCCAAAGACATACAAATGGCTAACATGAAAAGGTGCTCAACATCATTAATCATCAGGGAAATGCAAATCAAAACTACAATGAGACATCACCTCAAACCCATTAAAATGGCTATCATCAAAAGACAAGATAAGCATTGGCGAGGATGTGGTGAGAACCTTTTTGCAGTTAGTTGGAATGTAAATTGGTGCAATCACTATGAAGGTTCCTCAAAAAATTAAAAATAGAACTACTATATAACCCAACAAACCCACTTTTGTGTATATATGACAAAGGAAAAAAATAGGATGTCAAAAAGATATCTGCACTACCATGTTCAGCACAGTATTATTTACAAAAGCCAAGATAGGGAAACAACTTAAGTGTACATCTACAGATGAATGAATAAAGATGTGACACACACACACACACACACACACACAAATATTATTCAGCCATGAGAAAGGAAAGCTGCCACTTGCAACAACATGGATGGACATTGACAAGCATTATGCTAAATGAATTAAGCCAGAGGCCCCTGCAAAATACTCTGTTCTCACTTATATGTGGAATCTAAAAGAAAAGTCAAACAAATAAAAACAGAAAATAGAAAAGTAGTTGCCAGGAGCTAAGGGGTGAAGAGAATAGGAAGAGGCTGGTAAAGGGTACAAACTTTTACGTTGGCCAGGTAGGTCAGTTGGTTACAGTATCATCCCAATAAACCAAGTTTGTGGGTTCAATCCCTGAACACATAAATAAGTGGAACAACAAAACCTATGTCTCTCTCTCACCCCCTTCCTCTCTTTAAAATCAATTTTTAAAAATAATTTTTAGAGACTTTTGGCGAAAATGGAGGCGTATGTGGACACAACTACTCCTCCTCGCACAACCGAAATAAGGACAACAAAAATTTAGAAACAAAAAAACAACCAGTACTGACAGAAAACTGAACTGTATAGAAGACCAACAACCAAGGAGTTAAAGAAGAAACATTCATGAAGACTGGTAGGAGGGGCGGAGTTGCGCAGCCCGGCAGAGAGGACTCATGGCAAAGTGGCGGATGGAGGACCCGGGTGAGCAAGGCCTTGGCGTGCAGACCTGGCAAGGAGGCAGATTGCAGATGGGCGTGGCCCAAAAGGTGCTTGGCAGAGTAGTGTGGGAAATGTAGAAGCTAAAGAACTTATAAGTATGACATATGGACATGGACATGAACTAAAGGGGGGAATGTGGGTAGGAGAGGGTGTGCAAGGTAGAGGGGAGTGAAGAGGGGAAATGAGACAACTGTAATAGCATAATCATAAACTATATTTAAAAAATAATTTTAATAGGTACAGTTTTTGGTTACAATATGAATAAGATCTAAAGACCTAATGTGAAATATAATAGTTGATAACACTGTATTATATCAGTGAGATTTGCTGAGTTGAACTTAAATGTTCATATGCACACTAAAGATAAAAATTTGAGGTAACAAATGCGTTGGTTAACTAGAGGGTGGGAATTCTTTCACAATGTATATCAAATTATCACTAGGTACATTTTAAATATTTAAAAAAATTAAAATTTACAATAAAAACAGTGAGGAGAGTGATACTGTTTCCCTGCTTTTAAAAATCTTTAATATCTGGTTTAATTTTTAAAAACAGGTTGATGCTCATTTTTGCTTCAGCATTCAACCTATTGTTTGTGTTATTTTGGTTCACATATATGCAGCCTCACCCAGGTATGTAGAAAAAAGAAGACCTTCTGGACTCTCTGAAAGGAGACTCAAACCATATGCTGGCTTTACTTCAACTATTCCCTTGCCAGCACTAATGTATATATTATAACCATTTAATATATAGAATCCAATCAGGTTTACTGTTCCAAATAATAAATGAATGTCCTTTATCAAAAAGAATCTAGTTCAAAATCACACTGCACACTCAGTAGTCTAAATTGCAATCTTTAGTCTCTTTCAGCCTGAAAAACAAGTTTCAATCTTTCCTTGAATTTCATGACCTACACACTTAGAAATGTTACACTGTGTCTGACTCATAATTAAGTTCAGGTTAAGTATCTTTGACAGAAAAACCACAAAAGACATGCTGTGTTCTTCTCAATGCACCCTAAGAAGTGGCACATAATTTTGATTTGTCCCATTACTGATGACATCCACTTTCATCACTTAATTAAACGGGTAGCTGACAGTTTTCTTCATCACAGTTAACTATTTTCCTTTTGTAATTAAGTATTTTGGGAGAACACACTTTTAACATTTTTTAAATTCTTACCTAAGGATATGTTAAATGATTTGAGAGAGAGAGAATGAGGGAGAAACATTGATGTTAGAAAGAAACATCAATCAGTTGCCTCCTGTACATGCCCCTAATGGGGATCAAACTCTCAAACTATGTATGTGCCCTGATTAGGGATAGAACTGGCAACCTTTTAGTCTAAGAGATGACACTGAAACCAAATGAGCCACCTGGACAGGGCTCACACTTTGAAATTCTATCAATAATCTGGCCATCACCAATCTTCAATTTATTTATTTATATCAATATTCAATGGATCACAATCAATCACTATAATAACTTTGATAACTACTACAGGTTGTCTTCTCATTTTGTTATTTCCTTTGTTGTATGGAAGTTTGTATAATCCCATTTGACTACTTTTGCTTTAGTTTCTCATGTTTTGGGGGTCATATCCAAAATTCAGCCCTTAAAAAATAGAATGAAATGCAAAAAAAGGAAACCAGTTTATAATTTTCTCTGGGAAGGTCTTTTAGTAGATGTATTCTTAAATTCCTTCTAGTTTTCAGTGTTTCAGTGAATGTAGTATTTTAAAAATATAGATGATAATAACTTATTACTGACACATAAATACTCTAAATATTTGTGTATTGCTCTCATCTTTAAAAGCGTTGCTAAATTTTCTTATTTTAACGTTTGTTGGTGCTCTTAGACATCTTCTTGAATATAATTTGTAGTTTTTCCATGTTGATAATTATTCTAACACCAACTAGTAAAGAGCTTATCATTTCCCACTGATCTCTATGATATACTAGATTCCCATATAAAGTGTGATTTTTACTTTTAGAATCTATTCTATTTAGCCATTTGTCTATTCCTGTGTCATAAAACTTTTTAATATTATTGTAGCTTTACCATTATGTTCCCATTAGGAGACGCCCTTCTTTATTTTTGTTTTCTTTTGTTTAAAATATATTTTTTTGAGCCCTCGCTGGTGTAGCTCAGTGGATTGAGCATGGGCCTGCGAACCAAAAGATTCTGGTTTGATTCCCTGTCTGGGCACATGCTTGGGTTGCAGGCCAGTTCCCAGCAGGGGCCAGTTCCCATCAGGGGATGCACCAGAAGCAACCATACAATGATTTTCTCTCCTTCTCTCCTTCCCCTCCCTTCTAAAGATAAATAAATAAAATTAAATACATACATACATACATACATACATATATATATGATTATACCATTATAGTTGTCCTATTTCCTCATTCATTCCCCTCCACCCTGCACCCCCTACCCCCACATTCCCCCCTTTAGTTCATGTCCATGTGTCATAAGTTCTCTAGCTTCTACATTTCCCACACTACTCTTGCCCTCCCCTTGTTTTCTCCCCAATGTCTATGCTACTTATTTTCTGTACCTCCAACACCACCCCCCCCACTCCTCCTCCCACTCCCCTGTTGCTAATCCTCCATGTGATCTTCATTTCTGTGGCTCCACTCCTGATCTAGCTGTCCTCTTAGTTTGCTTTTGTTTTAGGTGTGGTTGCTAATAACTGTGAGTTTGCTGTCCTTTCACTGTTCATCTTTTTTATCTTCTTTTTCTTAGGTAAGTCCCTTTAACATTTCATATAATAAGGGTTTGGTAATGATGAACTCCTTGAACTTGACCTTATCTGAGAAGCACTTTATCTGTCCTTCCATTCTAAATGAAAGCTTTGCTAGATAGAGCAATCTTAGATGTAGTTCCTTGCATTTCATGACTTGGAATACCTCTTTCTAGCCCCTTCTTGCCGGTAAGGTCTCTTTTGAGAAATCCGTTGACAGTCTGATGGGAACTCTTTTGTAGGTGACTGTCCCCTTATCTCTTGATGCTCCTAGAATTCTCTCCTTCATTTTAATCTTGGCTAATATAATTATGATGTGCCTTAGTGTGTTCCTCCTTGGGTCCACCTTCTTTGGGACTTGACTCTGTGACTTCCTGGA